TTATGATAGTTGGAAGAAAGAAAATATAATCCAGCCTTTACTGTTATATTTACTTTTTTCTTCTGATTTTATGACATGAATGCATTTTCGTGGCCCCTGGCACTGTGCGTGCTGGACAAGCTGGGCCGCTGCCTGTGTCTCTGCCCCCAGTGCCGGGGGAACCTGGGCCGCTCCCTGTGCCTCTGGCCTGTTACCTCCACTGTAAAATGCACCTGTCTCAGCCATAAAGAAGAAGGAAATTTTGTCATTTGCAGCAACGTGGATGAACTTGAAGGGTATTATGCTAAGTGAAACATCAGAGAAAAACAAATACTGTATGATATCACTTGTATGTAGAACCTAAAAGAAACACACCAATCTAGTGACTGTAATAAAGAAGCAGAGACTCAGATGTGGGGGAGGGGAGGTACAAAGTATCGGGTGTAAGATGGGCCCAAGGATGCCTTGTACAACAGGGGGAATAGAGCCAATAGTTTGTAGTAACTGTAAATGGAGTGTAACCTCTAAAAATTGTATTAAAACATTTTTTTTTTAAATGCAGCTGTCAGGGTTGACCTGATAGCACACCTGGCCCAGGATACAGAGCTTGTCCTGGGATGCAGCGTTAAGCCCCATCCACAGACCCTGGCCACTCCTGCACCTGCCCTACAGGGTCACACACTCTGAGCACCACAATCCACTCGCTGACCTCTCAGCCCTCCGAACCCTGACCCCTGTCCACCATCCCATCTCAGACACCTCCCTGGGCCACACCCCAGGCACCAGCCCTCCCGAGGCCTGTAATCCTGGCAGGAGCTTAGAGGCCTGTCCCTGCCAAGCCCGGCCCTGTGTGGCAGCAGCAAACTTTCCAAGTTTCTGGTCACTGCCTGGCTCCCTGCCGCACTCCGGAGGAAGTCAGAGCCCTTGGCGGTGGCCAGTGGGCTCACCCTGCCTTCTAAAGGTGCCTCTCCACCTTCACTGCTCACCCCAACTTCACATCAACCACGCCCACTGGCTCCACTCCAGCCCACCTGCCTCCGAAGGGCCTGCATGGGGGCCTGGCCTGGGTAAAAGCGGTCATTGGTCCTGGAAGGCCAGGTGGGGGTCTTTATTTGGTTCCCAGGGCCCATCTCCCCAGGATCCCTGAACTACCTGGATGCTCATCCCCCTAGCCTGGAAGGAGGGTCCGCTGGAAGCCAATCCCGCCTAGCCTGTGGCTTCCTGAACATCGGTCCTGGCTGGGGAGGTGGTTCTGCCAGACAACCCAGACTGCCCCCACCCCCCCCACCCCCTGCAGGTGCAGCTGGACGCTGCTGACTGGATGGGGTCCATGGCCCGCTGGAGATTGTTGCCTGAGAAAGTTGGGGGGTCAGGATGACCTGGGGAACCTCTCCTGCCTACCTTCCCTGGGAGGTGACAGGCTACTGAATGTGACGTGGAGGTGGGGATGGGGCATAGCCGTGTGTCATTCAGTCACACCTGGCGGAGATGCTACTTGGTCTGACTGTCTGAGGAAAAGCTGCTCTGCCATGCCTTAGAGGGGGCACCGTCCCCTGACTGTGTCTGGTTACATACGGCCTCATTGTACCAGGACCAGACTGAGGCTGAACACACGCGGGTAGGCGGTGTGGGCCTGTTTGTACTAGGTTTTCACCCTGTACCTGATGACACTGTTTTGGGGGGGGGGGGTCACACTGTATCTCTTTTAATTTAATTTTTATTGGAGTATAGTTGCTTTACTATATTGTGTTAGCTTCTACTGCACAGCAAAATGGATCAGCCACACGTATACATATATCCCCCCCACTACGCCACAGCGCATTAGGTAGAGCTCCCCGTGCTATCGATATGTTCCCATCAGTTGTCTATTTTATACGTAGCATCAGTAGTGTCTATGTGTCAATCCCAATTTCCCAATTCCTCCCACCCACCCCCCTCACACTACGGGGGACCCCCGTAACTGGAAGCAGGGTGTGTGTGTGATCTCGAACTGTATGTGACTGGGGTGGGGGGCGCTATCCCGCTGACAGCCTTTGAAGGTGCCGCTTCCCAAGCCGGGGAGACCTGCTAGAAGTGAGGTCATCCCCTCCTACTTCACTGGGGAAGGGAATCAACACGAACTGTCCAGGCTGCATGCAGTTGGGGGACAGGGGATCCCAGGTGGGCAAGGAACCTTCTCATCCGACAGGACTGGTCAGGAAGGGGCACCAGTCCAGTGAGCCCGCCAGGTGGCCCTACCCTGGCCCACACAGCTATACCCACGATCCCGAAGACCTTATTCCTTTGCCTGTTTCCTTTCATGGGTCTGCACACCCCTGAACTGTGGACCGGGCAGTGGCCACTCCCAGCCAGCTGTGGAGAAGCCAGCAGCGTGCCTCCCCTCACATTTGCCTACCAAATGCCGGCCCTAAAGGAAGGAGGGGCGCTTATCCCACCCAGGCCGATGACTCAGAAGGAATCCCCGCTCATTGGCAGCTGACCTCTGACCTTTGACACAGCGACAAAGCCTCCAGGCACGGCCCTCAGGGCTCTAGTGGGCTCCCTTACCAGGGGCCTCCACCGGAAGTCTTTCCCACTGGGCAGGCCTGGGGTTTTATCCGGAGGGAAGGATCTGGGGCGAGCGCACGCGGTGGACGGACCCTGCGCCAGGCAGACAGAGGCATTAGGCTGAGTGGAGGAGCATGGGGGGTGAGATCCCGGCAGGGGAGGCTCATGGTCTGGAAGTGGGTGAGCCGCAGTTTTCCGGTGCGTACTGCAGGGCCAGATGGGGTTACTGAACCCCAGGGAGTTAGGCTGACTGGGCCGGGCGTCCCATCCACCCACCCAAGTCCAGGGACTTGGGCGCCAGGGAATCGGGGCCTTCTGCTCTCCCTGCACCCTACGGAGGGAACCGGACCGAGCCCTGGCCACTCGGGCCACCCACAGGCCATGACGGCCTAGAAGGGGCGCCCCAGGGAAGGGTCCAGGCCAGGCCCGGCACCCTCTCCGGACTCCAGCTAGGCCGCGAGGGCGGGAGCAAGTCGGGCCAGCCTGGGCTGGCTCGACCCGGGCCCGGCGCCTCTTCCCGCTCGGCTCCTCCTGGGCCGGCGTCGAGCGAGGGCGCCCGCGTCCACACCGGCACACGCGGCCGCGGCGCCCCCTCGCCCCCAGCTCGGGCAGACCCGCCCGACCCCCGTGCACGCGGCCGCGCTTGCGCTCCCACCGCCCCGCTCTGGGTTGCGAGGACCCAGCCCAGGTGCGGGCCGGCGGGCCGCCCAGGTGAGGCCGCGCGGCGGGGGGGGGGGGGGGGGGCGCCGGTGGTGCCGACCCCGCCCCACCCCGCCGGCCCGGCCGCGGCCTCCCCCTCCCGCGCGCCCCGCCCAGCTGAAGCCCGGGGAGGGGGCCCTACCTGGCCAGGTGCGCGGGGTCTCGGGACAAGGGCAGCAGGAGCCGACCGCCGCCCAGCGGCCTCGCGGTCCGGTCGGTCCGGCAGCCACTCCCTGCCGCGGCCCGCCCGCCGCGCGGCCTGATTCACGCTCCCGCCCCCGCCCCGCCCGCAGTCCCTGCCGCCTGCCTGCCCGGGCAGCACCTGGGGGCGGAGCGGCCCCACCCGCGGCGCGCCCGCATTCCTCCGCCGGCCGCCCGCCCGCCGCCGCCCCCGGGACCCCCGCCCGCGCCCCGGCTCCCCCGGACCCCGCCCGCGCCCCGGACCCGGGCGTGCCCCCCGGCGGCGCAACCCGGGACCCTGGCCCGCTACCCCCGGAGACCGCTGAGGCCCCGACTTCCAGGGCCCCGCGCCCCCAGGCGCCCATCTGTTCGCCGAAGGCTTAAAGTCCCTGAGCCTGACCCCTGAACCCTCGCCCCGGAAGTCAGGGTGACTCGAAGTTCCGGCTCAGTCGCTAGGAAACGGGCCAGCCCCACGCGGGGGGCGGCGCTTCTGGCCTCGCCTACTAGCTGCGGAAGGCAGGTGAAGCAGGTGAGACAGTGGGGGCGGTGCCGAGCCCCGGGCAGGGCAGGGCCTGGGGACCTGTGAGCACAGGGGCCCCGCACCACACCCGGACGTCCCCCACCCCGACGCCCGCACAGAGACGCCCGCATACTCGGATGCCCATAAGTACCTGGGACCCCCCCGGGCACACAGGGACCCTGACCGCAGATCCCCGACGCACGCCGACCCCACACACGTGTAGGAAAAGCACTGCACCCAAGGGACCTTCATTCCCACACGTGTGGACACCACCCCACACCAGTCCCCTCCCAGACCGATCCCGGCACCGAGCCCCCTCCACATAATTGGACCCCACTGGAATGCCCACGCTCACGCGTAACAGACCCAGACTGCATGGGGTCCTCTGCACACACCTGTGGACAGGGGACTCTACAGGCACACAGTGACCTGCACACACAAGGGATGCCACATGTACACTGAGCGCCCACATACATAGGACCCCCCGTGCATATAGAACCCTGCATCCATACAGGACCCTACAAGCACACCAAGTCCTGTGCCTGCCATACTGGGACACATGCCAGTTTACACACATACAGGACGCTCTGCATGCACGGTGGGTCCCTCATGCACTGACCCCCACAGAACCCTGCAACATACAGGACACTACATGAGCACTGAGAGTCCCTCACGAACTGGGGACCCTGCATTACCGACTCCCACACAGACATGGGACCCTGCAAGCACTCTGAGCCCTACATGCTCCTTCCGTGTGCGTGTGTGCACAGACGCACACGGAAGCCCTCAGCTGCCCCTAGGTGCCTCGGTCCCCCCAGCGTCCCCCGCAAACACTTCAGATCCCTACTCAGAACCCACCGCCTGGGGCTGGCCTCCCAAGGAAATGAATTCTGGGGTCAGCTGAGTGGACTAGGGAGAGGGGTGTTGCTTCCAGGCCCTGACAACACCACCTGCTGATGCCAAGACGAGAGAGGGTTGGGCGTGCCCGGTGTGGGCGGGGGGGGGGGGGGGGGGGGGGGGGGGGGGGGGGGGTGTTTGTCGGTGTCTGGTGGCAGTGCTGGGGAGGCTTTAGCAAGGCAGGGTTGGCTCAGGCTCGTGTTGAGGATGAAGCTGGTCCAGCTGGCAGCCCAGTGGTTTGGAGCAGGGAGATGGGTACCCGACATCGACCCTGGGGTGAGGATGGGTGAGCCAGGATGGAGGGGCCAGGGCAATGAGGGCAAGGGGGACAAGCTGTGGCCAGATGTTCTTGCCAAACATTCCCACTCAGGCTGCTGGGCACACCCCCCCCCAAAAACCAGGGGCAGGCGGGTGGGCCAGGAAGCCGGCAGGAATCTGTGCTGTTGGGGTGATCCTGTGTTCCCCAGTTCGGCACCTGCTGTCCGTCCACACAGGTCCAAGCCAGTGTGTGATGCTGCCCCTGCGGCCGCTGCCACTCTGACCACACCCTCCCTGACCTTTCCTACTCACCCCCAGGACGATGAGCAGTAGGAAGGGGGGCCCCGAAGCTGCATCAGGGAAGTGGCAGACGCCCTTCCACAGAGCCAACCCGAGCCGCTGGTGAGTGTGAGCCCTCTGACCTCCAACCCTGCTCAAACTCTGACGTGTGATACATGCTATGCAGCCACCCAGGGACAGTACTTCTGGGAAGACCTTTCTCTCTGAGAATGGCCTTCAGGGGATCTCCGAGTCAGGCTTGAGTGTGGTGGACTGAGAATTCAGAGCTCAGATGTCCATTCCAGACCCTGACCCTGAGTCTTGTACCCCTGGGGCTGGGACTGGGGTTGGGGTCCCGGGGACAGTGTTCAGAGGAACGTGCCTTTAGGACACATGGAGATGGGAAGCAGGCCCGTGTGGACTGAATATAGGTTCTGAAACAGGGCAGGGCTTGAGTTCATGTTGGGGATTCTCAGACTAAGCATGTGGTCCACTCTGACCCTCTGCTCCACCTAGGCTATCCTGTGCTTTTTCTTGTCTGCTGCCGCTCCCTCAGGCCATCCTCTCTTTAGCCACTTCCAGGCTGAAAGGTGACAGCTTGTCCTTGGCCTCCTGGTCCTGCTATGGGCCAGGAAGGGCATCTCCTCCCATGTCCACCCCTACCCATTGTTACTCTTCTTCTCTGAGTCCCATTTCTTCTCCGTCATGACACTCATCTGAGTTCTTTGCTAAGCTGCCAGCACCTTCCAGGCTGCGGCTCCGGGTCCTCCCAGTACTGGGGTCTGTGCTTGCTAAGAGAGCCCCACACCCTGTTGCTCTGCTGCAGCCCCCCTGCTTGGAGTGGGCCTGGACCCCAGAGGCCTCCCGGATCCCAAGACCTGGAGGGAGGGTGGCAACTGCTCTTCACGCCAAGCCAGGTTAGTCCCTAGCTCCCCAAAACAGCCCCAGCCGCATCTGAGGCGGCAGCTGTCCAGGAATGAGGACCTGTCCAGGAATCAGGCGCCGTGTGCGGCTTCCGCCATCTCAAGCCCTAGGAACAGGCTCTGCAGTAGACAGGAGGCCGGGCCGGTGGGCCAGGAAACTGTCGGGGAGGGAGGGGGGATGACGGACCTCAGTTCTGCTACCTGCTGACTGTCCCCCTGGGCCCTGGACCCAGCCCTCACCCCACACATTCCGAGCACTGTGCTGGGCAGCTCCCGCCCCGCCCACCTGGCCAGGATGCCTGGGTTCTCTGCAGAGACACCTCTGCCTCAGTTTCCCTAGACAAGCTCCCTCCTTGGGCTCCCTCTACCTGTCAAGCATTGGGCCAGCCCGAGAGGGCTTCCTGTGCAGCGGTCTTTGCCATGCCCTGTGTGGTGGGCACCAGCCTCACTGTGCAGACATGAAAGTGGGCCCACAGGTGTGCCGCGGCGCACATCCACCGGGCTCCGGCCTCCTGGAGCCCTGCAGGACCTGTAGGTGGCTCGCAGGGTCACCACGCCCCCGGGGCTCGTCCAGAGCCTCCCGCACCTCCACACCCCCTCCAGGCCTTACCGGGTCCTGGGTCCGAAGCGCCTCAAGGCCCTCGCACCGCAGCTGCTCCAAGGCCATGGCCAGCTCCAGCCCCTCCGCTTGCGCCCAGGCCTGCTTCTCCAGCAGCAGCTGCTCCTGGGCCAGGCACAGCTGCACCTCGCGGAGCCTCAGCGGCTCGGGGCCCCAGCCCGGCGCGAGGCCGCCCACCCTGCAGCCTTCCACGTCCGCAGCGGGGACCGGCACCGGCTCGGACCCCAGAGCGGTGGCCTTCTCCGGCCTCTTGGCTACCTGTGGCTGCTCTGGTCTGGCCACTCTGGGGTGTCCCCGGGGAGCCAGCTTGCTGCCGGTCACGTGCCCCGCAGGGGCCACCCCTGCCTCGTCCTGAGGGCCCCTGGGGGCAGGGGGCGGCGGCTCGGCCTCGGGACCCTGCTGGCCCGTGGTCTTCCGTGCCCTGCCCGTCCTCCTGGCCCGGGGTTTGCGAGCTCGACTTCGTCTGCCAGACATGGCCCTGACCTGGCGCCTGTGTTACCAGGTGTCTGCTCCCCGGGGGCCCGGGCTCATCGGCTGGCCGGCCTCAATCAGGCGGGCTCAGAGGGCATCCCTGGGAGGCCACGGCGGTGGGCCCTCTGCTCCTGCAGCCCCTCGTGTCTGCCCTTCCCCTTGGCTGGTGCCCACAGCGCCGAGGCTCTGGCCTGGGCTCTAGCTGTGGGCCTCACAGCCCCACTCTGCACGCAGGCTGGGCCACGCCAGAGAGTTTATAGTGACTTGGCAGCGCGGTGGCTCACCCGGCGTGAAGGCTGACTGACGGCTGACACGGCACTGTATGGGCACGGGCCTCTTTGGCCAGACTGGGAGGGAGACTGAGAGAAACTGGAGGAGGTGACTCCCGGCAGCCAGACCGCCGGGTGTGTGTAGCGATGAGTCTGGTCTTGCCCTGGGCGGGCACCGGTGCCCCACCACCCCTGTCGCACCCCGTCCACCCCCGGTCTCAGGAAACTCCAGCTGCAGCCCACAGGGCTAGGAGCCGCCTCCCCAGACTCACTGGCCATCCAGACAAGACGCTCACCAGCCACAGACAATCCTAACCCAACTACCACAGGAGCCCCTGGCTCAGCCCGCACTCAGCACGTCAGCCCCCAGCCAGCGTGCTCGGAGGAGCCTGGGGCGCCCAAGCTTGTCTGGGGCATTCTGTGGAGTTGATGGGCCCGCCCGCTCCCTCGTGTGGACTCCTGCAGGGGGCCAGGCTGCGCCGGGGGAAGAAACTGGACCTTGAAAGGCCCAGGTGGCATTCTGTGGACTGAGATGGGATGGTAGGAAGAGCCGGCCTGCCCTGAGGTGGGGCAGGGCTCTTGGGGACGCCCTGGCTGGGGGGTCCGGCTGCTCAGCCCGCAGGGTCGCAAGGAGACCCCACCCGGCCAGCCTTCGGAGCCCTGGGGACACAACTGGGGGAGGAGGTGCAGGGCCAGCCTGAGTGCCAGGCTTGGGAGGGAGGCTTGGGACCGACTCCTCCCCAGCATTTCCCCAGCCCGGGGCCGCTGACTCACACCCACGCCCAGGGCCCCATCCCAGCCAGCTCTGTCACACTGGCTCTACTGGTTTGCCTGGCCCAGCCCTGCCTGCTGCACCCCCTCCCGCTCAGCCCTTTCCCCAGAGGCTTGGCGGGGAGGTCGACAGCCAGCACCGCCGGGGAGCAGGGTGGGCGCCCCGCAAGGGAGTGGCACCGGGGGGGTGGGGGGAGCAGTGTTAGGGGTGGGGTAGGGCGGGCAGAGGGTCCGCTCACCGGAGGCCTCTCCACACCTGGGCTCGCGAGCCTGGGCTTCGGGCCCCAGGTGCGGGGCGGTCCTGCCCGCGGCCGCTCGCGGGCGCCCCCTGCGGCGCCCCGCGGAGGCCGTGTTTGCTGCGAAGGCCTTGGCCCCGTCGTGGTGGCTTCGCGACGCGGCTGCAGGCGGCCGCTCCTGCACAGCCGGGGCGCGGCCCCTCTTCCGGTGGCCCGTACATGTCCGCAGCTCCGCCGCGCTGACCGCCCCCCTGCCCCCGGGAAGCCAGGAGAGAGGAACCAGCCGGCGACGGGGCCCGCACCCCGGAGCGCCCCGAGGCCCCGACAGGTGAGAGCCCGCGGGCCCCGGCGCTCTCTGGCCGGCGGGAAGGGGCGCCCGGACCGCGCGTGCGGAGCCCCCCTCCCCGACGCCTCCAGCTCCAGGTGATGGCCCGGTCCGCCCCGCCGGCCGCTCTGCATGCTGTGGGGGAGCCAACCTCGGGGCGTGGGCAACCCGGGGACGGCGGTGGCCACCCTCCGCCCCAGGTCCTGTCTTCTCAGCGCGCAGCCTCCGCTGTGGCCTCTCGGCAGTGGCCTCCAGAGCCAAATCTTTACCCAGGTCTTGCCTCCTGCGGCCCAGACCCACATCCAGGCGCATCCCAGCCCTCCCCTGGGTGTCCTCAAGCTCCACAGCGCATCCAAAGCGCACACCCGTCACGGCCTTCCTCTCGCGTGTCTGGTCTTCCGCGACTGCTCCCTGCTGAGCCTGTGCCCAAGCCCCCACCCCCAAGGACAGCTCTCTGTGCTCCGGCTTCCTTCACTCCCTCCCGCCTTGCTGGCTGCTCACCCCGGCTCCGAACCGGCCTCTCCATTCTGCTCGGTCTGGTGGCCACCAGCAGCCAGTGTCGCGTGCAAGTGTGATCCTTCCCAGGGTGGTGCTGGCCTTACCCCCAGATAAACTCCCAGCACCACCGGTCACCTTTGTACCTCCGACCCCCCCAAGGGCCAGGGTGAGGAGCCTGACCTTGTCCTGAGGACAGAGCCAGACCACAGGAGGTTTGCAGAGTCCTGTCAATTTTATAGAAGTTATATATGCCCAACGTATGTATCAGAAGGACGTCCAGTAGCAGGAGATTTGGGCTCGGCAAGAGGCAGAAATGAGAGGGAGTGGAGGACACAGGCAGGTCAGGCCCCAGAAGATGTCCCGTTAGGATGTCCAGAGGCTGCGGCCGCTGCTGTGCTCTCGACTTTGCAGCTCCGCTGAGGATTGTCTCTAATTGTCCATGTCCTGGCGTCTCTTTCTCAAGGCCCAGGCACCTGGTGAGAAGTCCAGTCTGCCCTTAGGTCATGCTCCCATTGTCAGGCAAAGGAGGGACGGATGTCTGCCCCCCTTCCCCCATTTTGGTTTCTGTAGTGGGAAGTGGGCTCCCACTGAATTTTCTAGAACAGAACCCAGCCTTACAAGGTAGGGGTTCCGAGTCTTCAACAGGCCAGCGTCATGTGGAGAAGCTGCTTTCCCGCTCTGGGTCTGTTCCAAGAAGTCCATCCAGAGAGCCTCTTCCCCAGCCTCCTGTCACCACCCACGTTCTTGATGATCTGTCCAAATTGTCAGCCAGAGTGTATGAGTTGATATAAAGAAAGTTATTTGGTAGGACGGTATCTGGTCTAGATCAGCGTTGATTAGAGGGCCTTGTGCTGTTGGGCCCACGTGACACTAGCATCCCTGCCACCACGGCCACTCTGTTCACGGGCGTTTGCCTAAGCACTGGGTGGCCGAGGAGAAAGGCTGGCCAACGTCCATAGGACAGTTGTGATGTCTACCTGGGTGTCTGATGCCTCCTCTGCAGTGGACCCTCTCTGGGGGCATCACCGTGAGACGCAGAGCCAGCCCCGCACGCTCGGTGCCTGCAAACCTGGCCCCCGCTGCTGGTGCATCCGCGTGCCTTTCCCTGGGCCTGCCTGTCACTGTTGCTCCAGGCTTGTTCATTTCAGGCTCCCAATGAACCAGCCAAGCCCTTCGCCGTTGCCCTGCACACCGCACACCACTCTACTTCCCATCCACGGGAAGTTGAGAACCAGGTACCCTGGGAGAGTTCCCTCCTCCGCTGTCCTTTGGGACCTCCCGAGAGAGGAGCTGTGATGTGTCTGTGGTCAGTTTGACTGGTGCCACCGTGTGGACTGAGCTCTGTGAATCAAGCCCGAGTCCCTCCTCCACCACCTCCCCCAGGAATGCCATTGGCGTGGGCTGGAGTCCTGGGAAGCGGCACCGACCCTCAGCAGAGAGAGGGGTGTGGACATCTTCCTCCCGCTGGATGTGTCCTTTCTGCCGTAAAGGATCGCTCTGTGTGTGCCCAATGCCTCAAGTCCGTGGAGCGAGGACCCCGGCTCAGGGTGGGGAATTCAGGCTGCTTGTCCTCCGGTGCCCCAGTTGGACTTCCAGGCTCCACTGGGGCCGACAGCATCCCGGGAGCTGTTCTCCAGACCCAGAACTGTGTTCTAGCAGGGAAGGCGCAGCCTTGCTCTGGAGCCTGGAGTCTGTGCCGCGGCCCTCCCCCCGGGTTGGCCGGAGGTCCCACACAGCATCCTTCTCCCCACAAATACCTTCAGCTTATCAGACCTGCTGGCCACTTGGCCTGGCAGCCTGGCAGCTCACGCCTCTGCCACGGCCTCTGGGCTTGGCCGTTAGCCTGGGTCTCCCAGCACGTGGGTGGGGTGCTATTCCCGAATACAGCACTTGCTGCTCCAGAGTCTTGAGAGGCCTGCCAAGCGCTGGGCCTCTTTCTTGGCAGAAGGAGGTCCAAGGCGTAACAATTTATTTTTTCCTTTAAGGTGCCCTGGCATGTCCCAGATCTATGAACCCTAAAAACTTCATTAGCGTGGTTTTATCTCCCACCCTCTGGAACTTCCTGGATCAGTGAACTGTCAGGATGACCCAGGTTCCTGTATTAGTTCCCTGTAGCTGCTAAAAGAACAATTAACGCACATTTAGTGTCTTATAACAGCACAAATTTATTATCTTGCAGGTCTGTGGGTTAGAAGTCTGACCTGGGCTTCAGTGGGCTAAAATCAAGGTCTCGGCAAGCCGGCCATGCTTCCTGCAGGCTCTGGAGGACCATCTGTGTCTTTATCCTCTTCAAGCTCCTAGAGGCGCCCACATTCCTTGGCTGGTGGCTTCTTCCTCCACCTTCAAAGTCAGCAACCTTCTTCCAAAGTCACAGCTCCCTCTGCTTCTCCCCTGTCCCCCTCTTCCACTTGTAAGGTCCCTTGTGATCACGTTGCACCTACTCAGATAATCCCAGGGGGTTTCGCTATCTTAAGGTCAGCTGACTGACAACCTTAGTTCCATCTCCAATCTTGATTGCCTTTTGCCACGTAACACAGTGTATTCACCGACTCCCGGGGACAGGACAAGGACGTCGTTAGGGGGCTGTCATTCTGCCCACCGCAGTCCCTATGAGCTATATTGTGACCGTGGTCCTGAGACAGGACAGGGAAGGCCTGCTGCGTGGACGCTCTGCAGGCACGGACAGGAGGAGAAAGCTATGGCCAGTCAGCCGTTACACGCCACAGTGCCAGAGGCTGTGTGGATCTGCTGCAGTGGAGACGCCACTTCCAGCCTGGCAGCCCTGATTGCTTCTGCTGCCTGTGTAAGTTTCCTGTCATCCACCATCTTCCACGTTTATTTGTTTCTCGCCAAGGCCAGACAGGTGAGTTTAATGGAGATGTGATGGGCCCCACCACACCTGTTTTCCTCAAATCTTTTTTGTTGTTGTTCGTTTTTTTAAATTTAGGCTTTATTTTTTTAGAGCAAAATTGAGGGGAAGGCACAGAGCTTTCCCATAGATGCCCAGTCCCCACACACGCATAGCCTCCCCCATTATCAGCATCCCTCACCAGAGTGGGACACTGGTGACAAGTGGTGAGCCTACACAGACACACCGTAATCACCCAAAGTCCATAGTTTACATTAGGGATCTCGGTGTCGTACATTTTATGGATTTGCACAAATGTGTAATGACATGTATCCATCACTGTGGTATCGTACAGAGTATTTTCACTGCCCTAAAATTCCCCCGTGTTCTGTCTGTTCCTCCTACCCCCTTCAGTCCCTCACAGCCACCAATCTTTTTATTGTCTCCATAGTTTTGCCTTTTCCAGAATGTGAAATTGTTGGAATCATACAGTATTATAGCCTTCTCAAATTGGCTTCTTTCACTTAGTAATCTGCATTTAAGGTTCCTCCATGTCTTTTTGTGTCTTGATAGCTCATTTCTTTTTAGTGCTAAGTAACATTCCACTGTCTGGATGGACCACAGTTTATTTCTCTGTTCACCTACTGAAGGACATCTTGGTTGCCTCCAAGTTTTGCCTCCAACTGTGAATAAAGCTGCTGTAAACAGCTGTGGACAGGATTTGATGTGAACATAAAATTTCCACTCCTCTCGGTAAATACCAAGGAGCACAACTGCCGAATCTTTAGAGTTTATTCAGTTTTATAAGAAACGGCCTGTCTCCCAAGGTGGCTGCGCCGTCCTGCCTTCCCACCAGCAGTGGAGGCAGTTCCCGCTGCTCTGCACCCTCGCCTGCGTCTGGCGTCATAAGTGTCTGCAATAGGTGCGGAGCGGTCCCTCGCTGTTGTTTTAATTTGCATTTCCCTGATGACAGATGACACGGAGCAGCTTTCATATGCTTACGGGCCATAGGTATATGTTCTCTGGTGAGGCGTCTGTTCAGGTGTTTGGCCCATTTTAAAATCAGGTTTCTTCCTGTTGGGCTTTAAGAGTTCTTTGTATATTTCAGATAACAGTCCTTTATCATTTGTATCTTTTGCAAATGTTTTCTCCCAGTCTGTCTTTCGCAGAGCAGAAATTTTAAATTTTTTTAATATTTATTTATTTATTGGCTGCGTTGGGTCTTCGTTGCTGCACGTGGGCTTTCTCTAGTTGCAGCAAGTGGGGGCTACTCTTCGCTGTGGTGTGCAGGTTTCTCATTGCGGTGGCTTCTCTTGTTGCGGAGCACGGGCTCTAGGCGCGTGGGTTCAGTAGTTGCAGCACGCGGGCTTCAGTAGTTGTGGCTCTCGGGCTCTAGAGCGCAGGCTCAGCAGCTGTGGTGCACAGGCTTAGTTGCTCCTTGGCATGTGGGATCTTCCCAGACCGGGGCTTGAACCCTTGTCCCCTGCATTGGCAGGTGGATTCTTAACCACTGCTCCACCAGGGAAGTCCCGAAATTTTTAATTTTAATGAAGTCCCACTTATCAATTGTTTCTTTTTCTTTTTTTTTGGATTTATAGCTTTTGCTTGATATTTGGCAAATGCCCTTAGGATTAAGCAACTTTGAATGTTGGGCTTATCTCTTTGGGTTCTGCCTTATCCTAGATGTTGTCCCAGGAATTCCTTACTATTTTTATTTGTTCTTTAATACTTTTAATGGACATTTTTAAAATTTTTATTGGCGTGCAGTTGCTTTACACCGTTGTGTTAGTTCCTACTGTACAGCAAAGTGAATCGGCTCTACGAGTACATACATCCCCTCTTTTTTGGATTTCCTTCCCATTTAGGTCACCACAGAGCACTGAGTAGAGTTCGCTGTGCCATACAGCAGGTTTTCATTAGTTATCTTTTTTTTTTTTTTTTTTTGCGGTACGTGGGCCTCTCACTGTTGTGGCCTCTCCCGTTGCGGAGCACAGGCTCCGGACGCGCAGGCCCGGTGGCCATGGCTTACGGGCCCAGCCGCTCCGCGGCATGTGGGATCTTCCCAGACCGGGGCACGAACCCGTGTCCCCTGCATCGGCAGGCGGACTCTCAACCACTGCGCCACCAGGGAAGCCCCATTAGTTATCTATTTTATACATAGTATCAATAGTGTATGTATGTCAATCCCAGTCTCCCAGTGCACAGTGAGCGCTGGCAGAGGCCACTGACCCCTCCAGGGAAGGCTTGGGAGAACAATCATTGGGAGAGCACTCGTAGAGGCATCGCACGGTTCTTCTCCAGGGGCATCTGGCATCTTCTTCAATCTAGGAGCTGTGAATCTTTGACCTTGACTTATGTCTGGGAACTAGACACTAGTGTCTGATGTCAGATTTCTGGTGGCAGAGCCTGGTGTTTCTCTGACTACACAAACTGAGCAATATCCCGTAGACTGCCCTGCATCTCGCCCCGGGTCACGGCCTCCTGACCGCCGCCCTGCCTGCTGCCTATCGCGATACCATCTCACCTCCGAGAGTTAAGCGCAGAGCTGCTTAGCGTCTTCCGTTCTGGTATCCCGTCACCGCATTGATGTTAGGGCAATGAATCTGGCCTCCCCAGTACCAGCCCAGCCTCCAGAGGAGAGCCACCACTGAGCTCACGGGTGTGTTCTTTCATTGTTTTGATGAAGGGGTGCCCTCTGAACCTTCCCAGGGGTCCTAGTCAGGTGGAGGCTTCAAGGCTAACATTAGCCATTTCCTGTGAGAACAAAGAAACCAACGTTGTTCGGAAGTAGTCCGCCTCTTCCTGGAGCCGACCTGCAGTTCCCCGCTCCATCTGCTGTGAGCCCTGACTCTGACTGTTGGCCTGGGTGCAGCAAAGGGGGACCTAGGGACTTCAGGCGAGGTCCTCGTGGCTCAGAAAGACCGCTCTCCTCTGGCAAAGGGGCGGGAGACGTTTTCTGGTGCGGAACCAGCAGCTCGCGCTGGCGAGTGGCCGCTGCCGGGGCAGCACGAGAGCGTCAAGGACACAGAAGAGCGGAGCCCCCTCTGCTGCCCCCTGCCTGCAGGTCCCCTCGCGTGCCCCCTGCTGGCACAGGAGCTGCGTGGTTTGCCGCGGCCCCAGCAGCACAAAGCGGACCATGGAAGGGTGGGCTTGATGCCGAGCGGGAAGGCGGCCTGGGCTGTGACCCGCACACACGCCCTTCCCACGCGTGGGAGCTTCCACACGGCAGCGTGTGCTTCTGCCTGACGGTGCAACGGTCCTGGGTGTGGATGAAGATGGTCTCACTGTCTTTCCAGAAAGTGAAAACAATGTCCCCGGGGCCTCTACATCCCTGGGTGATAGTAACTGCGCCTTAAATTCATTCACGTCTCACCTGGAACATGGATTTCCTGAAACTTAAATACAGAATTGTAAAGCTTACCAACACCAACAAATCTGACATAAAATATAGGAGAATAAAACAGAGTGGAAAAGGAAATTAGTCAATATATACAAATACATGGAACAAACAAGGAAGAAACAGACACAGCCACTGCTGTTCTCGTCTCCGTAACTGACCATGGGCTCCCTCCCTCCACTGCCCATTCCACGTGCCCTTTGCCCTCAGCTAGGACACCTGCTGGTCTGGGTTCTTTACCTGAAGGATTTGAATGGTCATCGGTGCTTATTTGTTTGTTGTTTGTTTTCAGTTGCTTTAGTTTTGCATTGACGTTTCCTATCAGATGTGTGAGTAACAGGCTCCCCAGGGAATACCTTGGGTTCCAGACAGTCCTCCTTACCCGCGTGAGGGGCAGTGAACTGACCTTCCTGCGTAGTCATAACCTATTACCCCAGTCAGCGCAGTGACTCCCTTCTTTGTCCGCTAATTTAGTGGTCAGGCAGAGGTCTCAGTGTTCAGTTCAAACCATCCTCATGTCACCTGGTGGAAGTGTTCCTATCCTGGGAACTAAGACTTCTCAACCAGCAGACCTCAGAGTCATGCAGAGAGGAAACAAAAATACCTTCGGTGGGTCATTGGACGTAACAGCGAGAGAAGCCGCTTCCGCTCTGCCTGCTGGCTCCTGGCGAGTCCTTAGGCTGGGGGAGCACCAGTGTCAGTTACCTAGCGCTGCTTCACAGATCACAGATTTAGTGGCTGTTGTGTTACCGCGTGGTCTCTGTGGGTCAGGAATCCAGGTACAGCTCAGTGGGGCCCTCTGTTCAGTGTCTCACAGGCTGCTACCAGGCATTGGCTGTGGCTGTGGTCTCACCTCAGGGCTCGACTGGGGAAGGGTTCGCCCCCTTGGGGACCTTGGATGAGGGACTCAGTTTCTTGCTGGCTTTCGGTCTTGTTATGTGGGCCTCTCCAGAGGGCGCACGGGCTTAGTTGGTCCGCGGCATGTGGGATCTTCCTGGACCAGGGATGGAACCCGTGTCCCCTGCATTAGCAGGCGGATTCTTAACCTCTGCACCACCAGGGAAGTCCCATAAAACATTTATAGTAATAAAATATCGACCGTATTCCCTGTGTTGTACAATATAGCCTTGTAGCTTATTTATTTTATACACAGTAGTTTGTACCTCTTAATTCCCTATTCCTATCTTGTTCCTCCCCCTTCCCTCTCCCCACTGGTAACCGCTAGTTCTCTATATCTGTTCATCTGTTTCTGTTTTGCTATATTCATTTCTTTTATTTTTTGTGTTTTTTTTTTTTTTTTTTTGCAGTACGCGGGCCTCTCACTGCTGTGGCCTCTCCCGTTGCGGAGCACAGGCTCCGGACGCGCAGGCTCAGCGGCCATGGCTCACGGGCCCAGCCGCTCCGCGGCATGTGGGATCTTCGCGGACCGGGGCACGAACCCGTGTCCCCTGCATTGGCAGGCGGACTCTCAACCACTGCGCCACCAGGGAAGCCCCTATTTGTGGTCTTTTTGATGATAGACATTCTGACAGGTGTGAGGTGATGTCTCATTGTGGTTTTAATTTGCATTTCTCGGATGATTAACAATGTTGAGCATCTTTTCATGTGCCTCTTGGCT